AGCGTCATAATGAAGCGTGAACAGCCATTGAAATAATCAATTTCCTTGCATAATTCAGTATGTCACACATTAATCAATTCTAACAAGAAAACAAGTACAATAATCATATTTGAGTGAGTGAGTGAGTTGGGTTTAACGCCGCTTTTAACAGTATTCCAGTTATATCACGGCGTGTCAGCTTAATGTGGGAGGAAAGCCCGAAGTGATGCAGGTCTCAGACGTTTACCACTTCGGTGAAACCCACGAGCACGGGTATGGTGCTGACAAACCTAGAAACATAATTGGGGCGAACCGGGATTCGAACCCACAATCATAGGTTTCTGGCGTGCCCAAGGGACGCAACTCTGCACAGCGAATCGCGGCGCCTTAGACGACTGGGCCACCCGTGCCCCCTCAGTCAATTTGAGACAAAGGTTGTATGCTGGACAATATGATTGTATTGTTTGATGATAGTTATTTCAGGAGACAGGTGGCGAAAATGGTAAACTGGATTGTCTATCCATTACCGCCATCTGTCTCATGATTTAAATCAATTTTGAAAAACTTCAACCCAAAATAGAAGTCCCGTGTCAAGATATATTCTCTCAAAAAAAGTAGAGGACAACGAAATATGAATGCGTTTCATGCTTATACCAAGTATAAGAGCACAGATTGTTGGCATCCTGTGAGAGAACGTTTATGTCTGTAAAACTTAAGATCAAAGCACATACTGTAGGTTGCACGTGTCTCATGAAATTGCGCCACGCTCGTGCGTTGGTTGTTCGTGTATAAAATAGTGATGCGGAGCTTCTTCGGGTTTTTGGCAGGTTGGAACCTGGCAAAAGTCAGCGTGCAGTGGCCAATTATTTCCCTGTTTCACAATAGCAGTCTATGGAACAGGTACCAACAAACCCCACATGTTGACGATCGACCCCAGTTAACGACAAGAATACAGGATGGATTCATCCGAAACCAGGCTCAACGCAATCGAGCTCAAACGGTGAATCAAAATGCTACAAACGAGTTACGGGTAGGACGGGTTAGAAGTCATCTCCATGCTCAACGGTCACGTGTTCTGCCGCCCCTTACAAATCGTAAAATTGGCCGAAGACGCCAATGGTGTACCCAACATGGGAAACGTGGGTAATCGTCGCAGGTCACGTGTCATGTTTTCATTTGTGACCCGATTCCCTTTGCACTTCCTTGATACGCGTGTTCGTGTCTGGCGATGTTTTGTCTTTCAGGAGGACAACGCCCGCGCTCACCTCCAGCAGCACATATACAACATCTATAAAATGCAAAGACCAGCAATGAGCCAAGACCTTTCCCCCACTGAACACGTCTTGGACATGAGAGGGGGAAGTGTGCTTAAACGTCAAAGGCCATCGTCCACGTTGGCTGACCTTGGCCAGGCGCTCCAATACAACTGGTACAGACTCCCTTAAATCGCAAGTGGGAGACTCACGCGCCCAGTCAGTCTCGTCGAGGGAACTGATGTTTGACAAATCGAGGCAGTATTATTCATAACTAATCTAAAAATGTGAACTTAGAAACTTCGCATCTTACCCCAATCGCCCTTGAAGATCGTTGGCGGTCATAGCATCTGTCATACTTCACTACCTGTTGCAAAGTGTTCCCAGTAGGTTCATTTTTACCATACAAATATTACAAGAAACAAATATCAGTTAGAATTGTGAAATTTTCAAGTTATTTCCGAATACCCCCTACTTCTTTAAAGAGTATATTTATCATATGTTTCCATATTTCTGATATATGATAGACCGCCTCCGTGGTCTTGTGATAGATAGCGGAAGGGCCGGGGTTCGATACCTGGCCGCGTTATACCTAAAGACGATAAACGCATTAGGGGGTCGGCATTAAGGGACTAAAACAAGGACTGGTCGACTTGGTGTCAGTATTTGGTGTCTGACTTGGTATTTATGTTAAACTGCGGCATGGTATCTCAGTGTAATAGCACTAATGATCGGAATCAGTCCGGACTGGGACTAGTACAAGCACACTCGCACGCACGCACGCACGCACGCACGCATGCACGCACACACGCACGCACGCACGCACGCGCGCGCGCCGCTATATAACCGCAATAAACTTGGACGCGACGTCAAAAACCTTTTCACCTCACCTCAACTGATAACCACCTGAATTCTGTAATTCTAATAGTCAAGACACGTACATGTATTTACATGGTATTTAGAATTCACTTCTACGCTCGTTTATCATCATGGCTGGGCACGTGTTCATGAATTATATTCAAAGTCGTGTGGTTTGCATACATTGCCAGTTTGTTCCCTTGATAGTTCACAATATGTACGTAGGTAGGCATACAAGTACGTAGAAAGTAGAGAAATAGACAAAGATATGTTATGTTATGTTATGCATTTATTCCGGAAATGTAGGTCATCCGGCTAATATTTCACAAACATTTCACAAGAAATATATGGATAAAGGCCCGCCTTACATTCAATACATTGCTGTTGACATAAATCATCAACACATGCAATTAATTCATATCATGTGTTTTCGATCCTATAGTATTCTCACATTGAAACCATAAAATATATTAGCACCTAAAGTAATGGAAATGCTACAAAAATGCTTTTCTGGCTTCATTTAATCAATACAAATCATGGGTTTTTGACTGGTGCCACCAGTGAGAAAGATAGAGTTTGAACGTTCGTCAAAGATACAGTTGAACCTCTGTGCGATAGACTATCAGGCGGACATGACGTGTACTTTTTCTTACTCAATGAAAGCAGATATATCCTGAAACAGATGAATCCATCTGCTGATATTGTTTTCATGTCTTCATGGAAGCAATTACATCACACACATAACACAACTCACATATATTATCAACTATCTTAGAATAAAGGTCATATACATTCCAGCATAAGAATGAAACAGTACAGTAAAGTACGGTTATAACGAACTCAAAGGGACTACTAATTTTAGTTCGTTATAACCGTGGTTCGTTATAAGCATATATACAGTATAACAACAGCAAATAGTCGGGACCAAAAAAATAAGTTCGTTATATCCGTCAGTTCGTTATAAGCGTGTTCGTTATAACCGTAGTTTACTGTACTATTATCATTGTTGTTTACTTTTTCGTTATTAAGATTCTGCACGGTATTGATCTGGCTTTCACTGACATCAGTGTTATTTGGAAACCTTAGTTTCGTTTTAGTTTCCGTTTATATTATCTCACCTTTGCTTCAGAAACACTCCAATTTACAAAGACTTTAGCTTCGTTGCAGTTTCAAACACACTCTCATCTTTGCTTCAGAAACAATTCAATTTACAACCATGATCTCGTAGGCCAAAGAATAGTAAACTGTCACTTCTCGATTGTGTTTGTAACAGATGCACGTTTTATTCAATGAATTTATCAATGGTTCTCAATGTCCCCTTGCTCTGTAACGACTCAAAGAAATGAAACTTACTGTTCATTTACATATTTTTGGAGTGTATTTGCTTTAGAATTGTTCCTGTATTTGCTGTTGAACTGTTTCTAATTCCTTACTATTATCCTCTAGTGAGTGCTTGGGTCTTCCTGATCCAAATCCTGACACGGACAACTAGCTCCAACGTATCACCGTGGGACGGGGATGAGGTTCGTCATTAACAGAGAAGATGGAGAAGAACCATATTTTATTATGATTGTGTTCTGCATTACTATAAGATATCATTCGACACAGTTGTTAACGTACAAGTGCCTATAAAAAGTAATGTCCAGCCATAGAGGCTTATGAGACATCAATTGTTTTACCAATCGATGTTTTGTCTTTCAGGAGGACAACGCCCGCGTTCACGGTGCACAAATGGTCAATGCTCACCTCCAGCAGCACATATACAATATCTATAAAATGCAAAGACCAGCAATGAGCCAAGACCTTTCCCCAATTGAAAACGTCTTGGACATGAAAGGGAGGAGTATGCTTAAACGTCAAAGGCCATCATCCGCGTTGGCTGAACTTGGCTAGGCGCTCCAATAGAACTGGGACAGACTCCCTTAAATCGCCATTGGGAGATTCATACGCACAGTCAGTCTCGTCGAGTGAATGGATGTTTGACAAATCGAGGCAACTGTTGTGTATTGGGAAACCTTAGCTACGTTTTAGTTTCCGTTTATATTATCTCACCTTTTTATTCAGAAACACTCCAATTTACAAAGACTTCGTTGCAGTTTCAAACACACTCTCATCTTTGCTTCAGAAACATCTTTGCTTCAGAAACAATTCAAATTAAAGTAACGTCCAGCCATAGAGGCTTATGAGACATCAATTGTTTTACCAATCATGTAAACTGTAATAGTAATGCATTGACGAAGTCATTAAAATGCTCCGCCATCCACTGGACACGATCTGTTACAAACAGAGCAGCCATGCAATGTGATCTACCACAGAACATCAGGTATAATGAGCATGACGAGATAAGCGCTCAATAAAAGTGTCCTCATTAAATAATTTGCAGTTGTCGGGATAATAAATTCCCACAAAATTTCATGGCATGTGTAGTTTGCTATTGCATGCCATTGGATGCTGGAGACGCACGTGGTATTGCCTACATTATAGCAGTGCCACGCCTACTGTGCGTGAACTACGTCATGCGTGACGTCATCAGTGTATGTCGCTCACATCATCGTCAGAAAATGATTGAACCGCCCAAAATATATGATGGTATTATCTCATTTTTTGTCTCTTTCTTAGTTGTGAGAACCTCCAGTATGAACTACAGTTCAAAATTGACTCCCTTGCTCATCTCCACGTTCTCCCGTCGTTATTTAGGGTTTTCAATCCCTTTGTCCATCCAATTAATAAAGTGGCTTCCATCATCTCCACCAGTCTGCTTGTTTACTCTGCTTGTATACTCTGTGTTCATTAGTCATCCACTGGCTTCCAATTAGCTTAATCACCTCTCTGTGTCCATCGACTAGTCACTGTAACAACTTAGATGTCAATAAGTGTATATATACCTATGTTGTTTAGCCCTATCCATCACTCGCTTGATAAAGGTGTTAGGATCTACACCGAAACGTCACACTAATTGTAATAAAGAAGTTGTTCATCCATAGAACTCGTCTTACTTCACCACTCCAACTTCTAAATGACACTCAAAGAAGTTAATGTATGATACAACTACGTTTGGGATCAAAGTTTACCTTGGCCCTTTGTTATGTTAATACAATTGACATTGGATGTGGCAGGATTAAGAAACATAATGAACAAAAAGCCTGCAGAGGTAACCCTTCCGCAGCTGACAATAATATAACCATGTTTACAAAACCCTTTTCAAAATAATACCCCACCCCAGCGAAGGTAAATACCAAGTTTGCAGACACATGCAATTAACCAACCATAAAGAACACCCGATTCGTTCATATTACTATGGTCAATATGTCATGGCATAACAAGCTAACTATAGTAATATGAAAGAATCGGCTGTTCTTTAACGTCTTCTGAGTAGTATATATAGTATATAAGGGACAAAAACATTTCAATAATCATTATATTAAATGACAACGCCAACATGACTAATCTGTCTCGATATCTGCCGAAACAGATTCCTTTAAGCTTAAGAGGCAAACTACCGTGAACATTATATGATTGGGTCACTTAAAATCAGGTGTTCGCGAAAAGAGTAAGCATGTCCTGCTTTAGCTGAACCGCTTCTCACGCATGTTGCACAGAAGAGTAAGTGAAATCTCTACTACGATATATATAACAATTTAACCTCATATACATCAGATTCATAACTCTGTTAGTGACGGTTTCACAAATACCGATGTTGATCGTACGAAGGACCATCTATGATGTGTTGACAATCTCAGACTTTCTGTACAGATCGTAGAACTTAGAGTCTTTCATCTTTTCGTCGTAGACGCGGTTAAAATATTGGCTGAGCTCTCCTGAAAACCAGTTCTGCCATGTTCCGATCTTCCCTGAAAGGAAAATCAAGTAATTACAACCCAATGGACAAAAATTGATTTTGGAAATAAACATAATGTCTAATCATAGTTGAGGGGTTTATTCAGTTTATACTATGAATTCGGGAAATACTCGAGTCTGATTGGTCAATCAGAGGTTGTAAATCACAATAACCACCTCTGATTGAAAGAGCTGATTTTAAGAACGCATCACTGCGTAAGATGATATCAATGGAAACGTATTTCTTTCTAATTGTCGGTAGGCATTTTGAGATAAGTATATGTTCAATTACGGGTTATAATGTTTGCGATAACTGAATTATCTAAAGTATATGTTGCAAAATATTGTTTTCAGAAAACACGACGGGAATCGACTGTGAGAGATATTTAAGTTCTGGTGACAATAGAGAACTTGAAATTTGGTGATTTCCTGTAGTCGACTTTGACGTCATATTGTCTGTGTCACGATGAACGGCATGACGTCATAATGGTGACTCGCGGTAAAGAACAAAACTTTGCAACGCCTGCCTACTCTTTTTTATGGGCTTTCACTTCATTTAAGGATTGAAATTGTATTTGTTGCTGTTCATCAGCTAATGGAAACGGTGCCTCGCGAGAGCAAATTTCATGATGCACGAAGCTGATGAACGTCAACAAATACAACTTCAATCCTTATATTGACATATACATAAATGATAACAAGACAATTCATTAAACATCAAACTTTAATAATTTAAAGCCAACTATATCCACCAGGAGAGTCGTGACGCCGTGACGTCAACCGTCCCAAACATTCCATTTGGAGTGACATCCCTTTGTTTTACAAACGGCAAGGTCATTCACTTGAAATATAAGTTGCACCCAGTAAAGTTAGAGCTGAAAGAAACTGAGACCTGGCTGATGCTGAAAATTGATTAATATAAACGTTCTGTGAACTTTGGGTGCGTGTTTGAGGTGAGGTGAGGTGAAATTGGGTTTAACGTCGCGTCCAAGATTGTTGCACTTATATAGCGACGTGCATGCACGTGTATGTGTGTGTGTGGCTGCTTGTACTAGTCAGGACTGATGCCGAGTTATAGTGCTAGCTCACTGAGATACCATGCCGCAGTTTAACATGAATACCCCACTCAGACACAGTATACTGACTCCGAGCCGACCAGTCCTTGTTTTAGCCCCTTAATGCCGAGCGCCAGACAGGGTAACAACAAGTACAATCTTTTAACGTCTTTTTGTATGACGCGGCCCGGGATCGAACCCTGGACCTTCCGCTCTCCGGGCGGACGCTCTACCACAAGACCACGGAGGCGGTCTGCGGCGCGGTTGGATTTCCCGGAGCAATACACGACAGCGTGGAGTGTTTTCTTTCGGTAAGTAGCTTCGAATGGACGCTTCATTTCGGCGACCCGACATAAACATGATCTGTCTGGTTTCAAAGCCTGCATCATTCATAGCCTGAATCGATGTCGCTCTCAGACAGCGGGCTGGGTACCGTTTTGAACACTTAGACGCTTTGGAAACATCGGCCATGAAACATTTTCCCTTAATGTTAAATGAACGATAGTCAGCTTGGTAGTTTTCACCTATGCGAGGTCACCCGTTACTGTCAATATATTGGCTTATAAAGTCGCTCTGCTTACACGCTTTCAATGCCTTTCAATGAGAAAATAACGTACTTGTCAAGAAAACTATTCATACGCAGTAAAATATCCGACTTCAGGGCTTTGAAACCCATTTATTCAACAACACTTTGTAACCTATAAGACTGGGAGACTGGAGCACACAATCCCATTCTTTGTCTTTAATTGCGAGACATACTTCAAAGCACAATGTTATGATAACCGTACATCATACTGGACTTGTACTATCTATTTCATCGTTTCCTGGATTATGCACGACAAGGTGAGGTGAGGTGAAATTGGGTTTAACGTCGCGTCCAAGATTATTGCACTTATATAGCGACGTGCATGCACGTGTATGTGTGTGTGTGCCTGCTTGTACTAGTCCGGACTGATGCCGATTTATAGTGCTAGCTCACTGAGATACCATGCCGCAGTTTAACATGAATACCCCACTCAGACACAGTATACTGACTCCGAGCCGACCAGTCCTTGTTTTAGCCCCTTAATACCGAGCGCCAGACAGGGTAACAACAAGTACAATCTTTTAACGTCTTTTTGTATGACGCGGCCCGGGATCGAACCCTGGACCTTCCGCTCTCCGGGCGGACGCTCTACCACCAGACCACGGAGGCGGTCTTATGCACGACAAACATATTTAATATAGGAGAGAACAATATTTCCTTTTGTCAGATGTGCGTGATGCTGATTGGATCAGAGCTACAGCAAAGCAGCGTATTTGCGTAAAATATCCCCCAAAATATTCAAAACCCAATGATTTCAATTAACTTGCGTACAGAAACGCATGCATTACATCAAAAACTAAAATGTATAAAAACAGCACGCGTAAATACCCAATTCAGCTTTTTCTTCATGCGTACAAAGGAGCTAATTTCCGAAACACAATTACGAGCTAATTTACTCTCCGAGTCAAGCCTATATATTTAGAACAGTTATCATGGTTGTGTTATCTTTTCTTTGTTTGTTTTTAAATCTTAAAATGTTCACTCTTTTGTGGAAATACCCAATAGAGTGATGAATAGATGAGTGAAAAATATTGGTTACCCAATGAAAAATGTAATAACCCAATTGAAGTATACATAGAAACCCTAGAGTGAAAACTCAATTGCTCAAAACGTTAAATTCGATTTTTAGGAGGTACACATTTACTTGCGCAACCGAAGTGTCTCTTCGTGTTCACCTTCGGCAACACGCGTGACACCGGATGCCGCGAAGTCGATGACGGGTTTCCAGGTACTCTGATTATAAAGACAGTGCCGTAGCCAACTGCCCCTAGATATAGAAAACAGTTTTATTTGAATCAAGTTGGGGACAAGGGATACTTGTACACATATTTGCCCCCCCCCCCCCCCCCGTCAAAAAAAGGTAAACTACGGCCTTGAAAGAGGTGGTCTCGTGTTTGCACCCATTTGTCAGAAAAATAGAAACACAAAACTTTCATAAATTATGTTCTGTATAACAGTTCTTTTTCTCATTTGTAATGTGTAGGCACGTGTATCTTTGATACACGAAATAAGGAAATTAAAGAAGACAAACGTATTGTATGATCCCTATCCAAAATAGTGTCAGAGGTGGTGACAGAGGCACGTCAAGTCAAACATTTGCGGGATTTGAAGGTTAGATGGGATGGGCAAAGCCGTTTACTGTTATATTGGAATGGCACATGTGCAAGAGACCATACATTTAGTTATTATTTCTGGCGTGGTGCAGAGTGACTAGTTCTAAAGGGACAAACTACGTTCATTAGCGAGCTGTTTCTGTCCCTGAAGAATTCTCTACAATATGGTCAGAAAAATACATTAACACTCGAATAATGCCGTTTCTGCGCCGAATACGAGTTACGGAATACGCTTCAACGACTCCTCGGTTTTGTGATCTGTTATTTTGCAAATCTCGCGATTTTCATTTTCCTTCAAAGTCTGGAATCTCAGCAATGTATCATCATTCCATTCGTCAAATATTTCAAATTTCCGATTTTGAAGTCGTGACAAATTACCATCTGAACCGCCATGTTAAGGACTTGAAAAAAAATAGTTCCATTAATGAATGTATACATACGCGGTGATGAAACCAAAACATTAAGGTGACTATTCTCATTCGACAACACGCTTTAACCCATGAGAGAACATACATACTTTCAGGTTACAATTCAATATGTTATCTACTGCATATTGTTTTCCGTGATCGTTTGACAATTATCTCCCGTCTGCTAAGGGAGTATTGAACTAAAGACCTCAAGCCCTCAAGGCCCTAAGACCAAGCAACTGGATTGCCGGATAAACAAATTAAGGGTACGTTGTTAATTTTTTTTAATTATGTATAGACGTTCCAAACGGTATTCTTGTTCGAAATGTTCCCCAGAAACCTATGCTTGTCTTAATTGGCTACTGAACTTATCGGTTTGTCAGACCCAGTTACTTCATGAACCCTGACGACGTGGAAGATGCTCATGCTATCAATCCCTGTTTTGTTGTCAAGGCCGCCGTACAAACTTACAAACTGCCGGTAAGAGAAAGTATACACTTGAAAATTGGATTTGATATTAAATAACAAATGTTATTAAAACGTTACAAGGCTCAAAACAGTCGCTGAAACACTCCAAACATGAGGTCCTTAACACAACTATGAAACCCGTATTAACTGACCATTTCTCTCAGCCACCATCCCACATGGGTGTATACGTTCTTTGTGTGTGGCGTTAAAAAAACAACAGGTAGTAATCGCAAGGGAGGCAAGGTGTACGGACATTTGAGGTTCTAGTGTATACAACCTTGGTTATAATGCACACTCCTCCCATCCAGCTTCTCCGTGACGGCTAGTTTGTCTTGCTTCATGTTGTCAAGGCTACACTTCTCTGCGACTCGTGTCCGAAACGTCTCATCCGTTTTCGTGTTGAGAAATTTGTCTATTCGTTCAATTTGTCGAACTGGTTGCTGTAACCATAAAATGTCAAATATCTAATGTCAACGCCAGAGGATACTCGGTCTCGATCATCCGAAACAGACTCCATTTGAGCGAAAAGAACCTACCAAGCTCCTCACAGCGCAGCTCTCTATACTATAGCTGCCATTAGTCAAAACTCCCCACTGTGATAGGTGACCACAACCATGCTTGGAGTTGAACTCGCAACCGACTGACATTTATGTTTACGAATGAGTGAATACCGCCGTGACCCATAATACTCTTACACCAGCTTAATTATTATCTTTGTCAATTTGAATTTCTATTTCATTTCAATGTAATAAGTATAATAAGAATGTAACGGGAAAGTTGAGTGATTATCCGTTAGTCTGCAATCTCGAACCAATCTGATTATACAAACAAAAAAGTAAATTCATCTGGAACACATGGTCACTCTTTCAAACCTTTTCAAAATAAACTATGACGGCATTCCCAAAGACAAATCGTATAAGCGTTAGTACATTTGGGGTTAGAGGGCAAACGTAACAATTCTTGTAATGGCCGCGTCCACACTGTCGGCAGCGATGCTACCGAGAGGGTAACGAAGATGTCACGCGCTGGGAAGGAGCTTGGAATTTGGAGTGCAAACGGCCGCAACTCTACACAGCGAATTGCGGCGCTGTAGACGATTGGGTCACCCGTACTACCCGACAGCAATAAAAAATATATGTGGATGCACAGCACCAGTGACCAGTACCCCAGTCACAGTGACCAGTACTATCTGCGCGATGATCGGATTGTCAGGATGTTTCATTTGGCTTTTTGTTCGTCATTACAACATATATTGTAGATTGGTGTTCCTGTTTTCAACCAAGTAACAAACTCTATTATTAATGCCTTCGGCGGTATAGCTGAAATATTGCTGACAGCGGCAAAAAACAGCATTCACTCGCTCACTTACTGTCACGAGATCTTCAAAGCGGACCACTAGAATCGATGAAGTGTGATCATTGGCCATAGCCTTTTCCCAGTTTGTCACGTGATCGAACCAGCTGCCCCAGGCCACTGTCAAACGAATTGTGCATAACTATTAATATATACTCAACAATGAAACAATGTAATAGACTTAAAATAATTGTTTGACAATAAATTGCACCGCAATATAATAATAGAAACATCATGACACACATATAGGAACATCATGACACACATATAGGAACATCATGACACACATATAGGAACATCATGACACACATATAGAAACATCATGACACACATATAGGAACATCACGACACACATGTAGGAACATCATGACACACATATAGGTGAGGTGAAATTGGGTTTAACGTCGCGTCCAAGATTATTGCACTTATATAGCGACGTGCATGTACGTGTATGTGTGTGTGTGTGGCTGCTTGTACTAGTCCGGACTGATGCCGATTTATAGTGCTAGCTCACTGAGATACCATGCCGCAGTTTAACATGAATACCCCACTCAGACACAGTATACTGACTCCGAGCCGACCAGTCCTTGTTTTAGCCCCTTAATGCCGAGCGCCAGACAGGGTAACAACAAGTACAATCTTTTAACGTCTTTTTGTATGACGCGGCCCGGGATCGAACCCCGGACCTTCCGCTCTCCGGGCGGACGCTCTACCACAAGACCACGGAGGCGGTCACACATATAGGAACATCATGACACACATATAGGAACATCATGACACACATGTAGGAACATCATGACACACATATAGGAACATCATGACACACATATAGGAACATCATGACACACATATAGGAACATCATGACACACATACAGGAACATTATCAAACACATATAGAAACATCATGACACACATATAGAAACATCATGACACACATATAGGAACATCATGACACACATATAGAAACATTATGACACACATATAGAAACATCATGACACACATATAGGAACATCGTGACACACATATAGAAACATCATGACACACATATAGGAACATCATAAGGTAACATATAGAAACATCATGACACACATATAGGAACATCATGACACACATATAGAAACATCATGACACACATATAGGAACATCATGACACACATATAGGAACATCATGACACACATATAGAAACATCATGACACCCATATAGGAACATCATGACACACATATAGAAACATCATGACACACATATAGAAACATCATGACACACATATAGGAACATCGTGACACACATATAGGAACATCGTGACACACATATAGGAACATCATGACACATATATAGGAACATCATGACACATATATAGAAACATCATGACACACATATAGGAACATCGGGACACACATATAGGAACATCATGACACACATATAGGAACATCATGACACATATATAGAAACATCATGACACACATATAGGAACATCATGACACACATACAGGAACATTATCAAACACATATAGAAACATCATGACACACATATAGGAACATCATGACACACATATAGAAATATCATTACACACATATAGCAACATCATGACACACATATAGAAACATCATGACACACATATAGGAACATCGTGACACACATATAGGAACATCATGACACACATATAGGAACATCATGACACACATATAGAAACATCATGACACACATATAGGAACATCATGACACACATATAGGAACATCATGACACACATATAGGAACATCATGACACATATATAGAAACATCATGACACACATATAGGAACATCATGACACACATACAGGAACATTATCAAACACATATAGAAACATCATGACACACATATAGGAACATCATAACACACAAATAGGAACATCATGACACACAAATAGGAACATCATGACACACATATAGGAACATCATGACACACATATAGAAACATCATGACACACATATAGGAACATCATGACACACATATAGAAACATCATGAGACACATATAGGAACATCATGACACACATATAGAAACATCATGACACACATATAGGAACATCATGACACACATATAGAAACATCATGAGACACATATAGGAACAACATGACACACATATAGAAACATCATGACACACATATAGGAACATCATGACACACATATAGGAACATCATGACACACATATAGGAACATCATGACACACATATAGAAACATCATGACACACATATAGAAACATCATGAGACGCACACAGGAACATCATGACACACATATAGGAACATCATGACACACATATAGAAACATCATGACACACAAATAGGAACATCATGACACACATATAGGAACATCATGACACACATATAGGAACATCATGACACACATATAGGAACATCATGACACATATATAGAAACATCATGACATACATATAGGAACATCATGACACACATACAGGAACATCATGACACACATATAGGAACATCATGACACACATATAGGAACATCATGACACACATATAGGAACATCATGACACATATATAGAAACATCATGACACACATATAGGAACATCATGACACACATACAGGAACATCATGACACACATATAGGAACATCATGACACACATATAGGAACATCATGACACACATATAGAAACATCATGACACACATACAGGAACATTATCAAACACATATTGGAACATCATAACACATATATAGAAACATTATCAAACACATATTGGAACATCATGACACACATACAGGAACATCATGACACACATATAGGAACATCATGACACACATATAGGAACATCATGACACACATATAGGAACATCATGACACACATACAGGAACATTATCAAACACATATTGGAACATCATAACACATATATGTTCATATGTGTTTATTATGTTCCTATATGTTCGTTATGATGTTCCTATATGTGTAAAATGATGTTCCTATATGTATTACAAGCATAATATATAATATAGGAATATCATAACACACGTGTAAGGACATCGTGACACACACACACATAGGAACATCTTAACACACATGTAGGAACATCACGACACACATATAGGAACATCTTAACACACAAGTAGGAACATCATAACACACATGTAGGAACATCATAACACATATATAGAAACATCATGACACACATGTAGGAACATCATAACACATATATAGAAACATCATGACACACATATTGGAACATCATAACACATATATAGAAACATCATGACACACATATATAAACATCATAACACACATATAGGAACATCATAACACATGTAGGAACATCATAACACATGAAGGAACATCATAACACATGTAGGAACATCGTGACACACATATAGGAACATCTTAACACACATGTAGGAACATCATAACACATGTAGGAACATCATAACACATGTAGGAACATCATAACACACATGTAGGAACATCGTGACACACATGTAGGAACATCGTGACACACATGTAGGAACATCGTGACACACATGTAGGAACATCGTGAAACACACATAGGGGCATGAAACCAAACATGTAGGAACATCATAACACACATGTAGGAACATCGTGACACGCATATGGAACATCATAACACCAATATTGGTACATCATTACACACATACAATAACATCTTAACACAGATATAAGAACATCATGACACATAAATTAGCACATGAAAACATGCAGCAACACACACAAGAACACACACACACAAAGCAACACAGCCATCTACACATACAGGGACGTGTGTACATACATTCGCCATTTACGAATAACTTCAGCCAATCTGCGAAAGGGCATATCTCCACCTTGTCTCTGATCCGAAGGTACTTTCCCATCAACTGATACCACGAGCAGGCGATGTCACGTGGGTCCCTCAGAACGTATATTACTTTCACCTTCTTTTCAATCGCTGCTTTGGGAAGACGATCAAAATGCATGTGCCCATTGAGAACTCTGGGTGAAGGATGCTGTGCCAGTTCCTCATTGAATTTTTGCTCCAAGTGAAAGTGTTCCTTCGGGTGTGGTATCGTGTCTACAGACTTCCTCAGTAGCATGTTGATCACTTCAAAGCACCAATGTGTACCTGTCGTTAAATATCAGATGGTAAATGAAAACAACAAACCCCTTTATGTATTCATCAAAAACACAGTCGATTGTACAATTCCGACTATATCGTAATCATGTGTTTATGCATCACTATCACAAAGCGGACCGCCTCCATGGTCTAGTGGTAGAGCGTCCGCCCGGAGAGCGGAAAGTCCGGGGTTCGATCCCCGACCGCGTCATACCAAAAGACGTTAAAAGAAGGTACTTGTTGTTGTCCTGTCTGGCGCTCGGCATTAAGGGGCTAAAACAAGGACTGGTCGGCTCGGAGTCAGTGTACTGTGTCTGAGTGGGGTATTCATGTTAAACTGCGGCATGGTATCTCAGTGAGCTAGCACTATAACTCGGCATCAGTCCGGACTAGTACAATCAGCCACACACATACATACACATGCATGCACGTCGCTATATAAGTGCAATAGTCTTGGACGCGACGTTGAACCCTATTTCACCTCACCACACCTATCAAAAAGCTATGTCAGGTTTTCGAGAAAAGGTGGGCATATCCTGCCCCACGGGTGGTACCCGTCACCAAAAACATGCAAAAGTAGGTCAATTGTTCAACTTTAAAAAAAACACATTGTTTTTGTCACTGATGCGTCAAATTTGGAAATCTCTTCCAAATGCCCACAAAAAACGTGTAAAGGTTTAACTGTAATCTTTAATTTTAAACTGCCATAGTTTAAACATTTAACGTTAAACATATTAAATGTCTTTCTGCATGGAATAGAACATTGGTACGGAACTTCAACATCATAGAGTTTAGAAGGTCGATAGATTTATTAACAGGTACAAGAGGGGAGGAAGTGGTTAGTGGTGACTCCCTAACTAAAAGCGACAGTTTCATAATCCTGAGTCCATGGTACGATTCAGACTAAATCATAGCCATGTGTTTATGGAGCAATGTCTGATACCAAGGGCGAAAAGGTGAGCGTATCATCCCCTTCCGTCGGCACTCGTCACAAACTCATGAACAGGCAGGTCAATTAGCATCCAAAGAGCCGTTAACATCATGACCTATGGGCTATTGACAAAGTTTGTTCTGTAGCACGCATATGATGACACATGTGCTATGTCTCCGTCATATACAATAGGTGTTGAGCTGATTTGGGGTTTAACGTCGCGTCCAAGATTATTGCACGTATATAGCGACGTGAATGTACGTATGTGCGTATGTGTGTGTGGCTGCTTGTACTACATGTAGTCCGATTAATAGTGTTGGCTCACTGAGATATCATGCCGCAGTATAACATGAATAACACCCCACCCAGACACAGTATACTGACACCGAGCCGACCAGTCCTTGTTTTATCCCCTTAATGCCGAGCGCAAGACCGGGTAACAACAAGTACCATCTTTTAACGTCTTCCGCTCTCCGGGCGGACGCCCTACCACACAACAACAGAGACGGTCCATGTCCAATAATTACCATACATTGAGCAAGGGTCCTTAACATACGGGGCTCCTGTCTCTATATAGAGAAAGACAAATCGCATTGCCTACAAACATTTCCTATTACAGTGTGAGTGATTTGAATCTTACGCCACCTGGAATATTCCAGCCATACCAATGGTGGAGGTGTAGGTTTCACACCAAATAGTAGGACCTGGTCTTTGGTCTGACGACTGAACGCTTTAACGACTGGGCTACCTATCTATTTGATAGTAAAAGTGTTGCACTACCAGATCGCATATATCCGCACAACATGACGTCATCATCTCTTATGTCCACTTCCGGTATGTTCCGGATGACCTCTTCGTTAAAATCGCATGGGAAGCGCCATCCGTTTACTTCCAATAGTGGGTATTTTGCTTGAGGGTGATTCTCAGGGGACACGTGAATAACTGGCATGACTGTGGAATGTTCAAGCATCAGTTGTAACATCTGCAAAAAAAACCATACGTACCCTTATTGATATTTTGTTTACCATTCTAATGAAAGAAGATTTTCGTCATCTATACCATTTCACTCAGATGAAACTGCAAGAAACATCAGGGTGAACCTGTATTCGAAGCCACGATCATTGGCTTCTAGCGCCTGATGGACGCAACTCTACAATCTTACAAACAACACGAGTAAAGGTGGATCACAAAGCTGCCATCATGTTCAGGAGAAAATAAATTATATGAAACAAGAAACAACAAAACAAGTTTTAAAAAGCAAAGCACCTTAATTAAATTCACGCACTAGTCACCGTACTCTTTCTCAGGGTCTGCAATATGCTGAAGAGCATTGCGTCTCTACCCTTGCCAGGATCCTTGCCAGGTTAGAATAGTAGATCCCTCGATCATGGTCCTTGTTCTGCGTCATGCTTGTGCGGTTAGGTTCACCAAGTGACAAGCATTCATGAATTGCATCACTTCGGCCTTGCGCCGACACTGAGCTGACCAGCATACAACTGAAGTGTTGCTGAATGCTGCGCCAAACCCATCTCAGAAACATTGACAGAAACAGAAACAGTGGTTCCCCTTCTCTTTTTTGGTTTGGTTTGGTTTGTTGTTAAACGCCGCACTCAGCAATATCCCAGCTATATGACGGCGGTCTGTAGATAATCGAGTCTGGACCAGACAAGCCAGTGATTGATATCATGAGCATCGATCCACGCAATTGGAATCGATGACATGCATCAACCAAGTCAGTGAGCCTCACCACCCGATCCCGTTAGTCGCCTTTTACGACAAGCATAGTCACCTTTTACGGCAAGCATGGGTCTTCTCCTTCTCTACAATACTGATGATAAGACGTAAAACTGTCTGGTTACAGTACCCTGTTACCCGGGTACCTGAGGCCTGTTACCCTGGGTACAAGAGATACAACATAAACTGACAAAGTGGCAGTTGCAGAACCTTGAAACGGTTAAAATAACTTACCAATTGCAGGCTCAAATTATGAATAAACTGACCCCAGTCCGATCAGGGAGCCGGCTACGACTGCACTAGTTGCCACAAGTCATTCAGGGTCAAGACTGAGTTGAGTCTCCTGTAATATGCACTTGCAAACATAAAATAGGCGATGTTTGTTCCGATTATATCGCATTTACCTTAACTGTCAGCCTTGCTCCAAATGCAACCGTCAGGTATTAAAACTGACATTCTTTGATATTGTCAGTATCATTGTAAAGCTATGACCTTGTGGACTGACAAAGTCTACTTGACCCACTGCGTGCTATCGCAAACAACCTAGGTTAGCAACCGGGTTAATGATATTGCGACGCCTCGGCAAATGCTGTGTCAGATAAGAATAGAATCATCTCCCTTTATGCGAACAAGCACCTGACCCCTCGTAATGTCAAGAGTATTAACAGAAGCATTTGCATAGCATTTATCTACTCGTCATGTGTGTGGCAAGTGAATATGCACTATATACCCTAGTCACAAAGACAACAAACAGACTTTTTATAAAAGGTAGGGCGAGCACCTACACCAACCTACTGTGTTGACGGCTTAAAGGTAGGGCGAGCACCTACACCAACCTACTGTGTTGGCGGCTTAAAGGTAGGGCGAGCACCTACACCAACCTACTGTGTTGGCGGCTTAAAGGTAGGGCGAGCACCTACACCAACCTTCTCTGTTGGCGGCTTAAAGGTAGGGCGAGCACCTACACCAACCTTCTGTGTTGGCGGCTTAAAGGTAGGGCGGGCACCTACACCAACCTTCTGTGTTGGCGGCTTAAAGGTAGGGCGAGCACCTACACCAACCTTCTGTGTTGACGGCTTAAAGGTAGGGCGAGCACCTACACCAACCTTCTGTGTTGGCGGCTTAAAGGTAGGGCGAGCACCTACACCAACCTACTGTGTTCGCGGCTTAAAGGTACAGCGAGCACCTACACCAACCTACTGTGTTGGCGGCTTAAAGGTACAGCGAGCACCTACACCAACCTTCTGTGTTGGCGGCTTAAAGGTAGGGCGAGCACCTACACCAACCTACTGTGTTGGCGGCTTAAAGGTACAGCGAGCACCTACACCAACCTACTGTGTTGGCGGCTTAAAGGTAGGGCGAGCACCTACACCAACCTACTGTGTTGGCGGCTTAAAGGTACAGCGAGCACCTACACCAACCTACTGTGTTGGCGGCTTAAAGGTAGGGCGAGCACCTACACCAACCTTCTGTGTTGGCGGCTTAAAGGTAGGGCGAGCACCTACACCAACCTACTGTGTTGGCGGCTTAAAGGTACAGCGAGCACCTACACCAACCTACTGTGTTGGCGGCTTAAAGGTAGGGCGAGCACCTACACCAACATTCTGTGTTGGCGGCTTAAAGACAAAATTAATTTTGTCAAAGGAAAGGTGACTGATGTTCTGTGATTAGTGTTCGTTCTTTGGTCTGTTGTTTAACGCCGCACTCAGCGATATTCCAACTATATGACGGCGGTCTGTAAATAATCGAGTCTGGACGCTGTTTGACATCAGGAGCATCGATCTACGCAATTGGGATCGATGACATGCATGAACTAAGTCAGCGAGCCTGACCACCCGATCCCGTTAGTCGCCTCTTACGACAAGTATATTAGTGATAAGCGATTGTCATTCATAATAACTTGACCGTCTCAATAATCGAGCATTCATTCATATGGTTGAGTGTAATATTATCATTTTAGAATGTATGGTATCAAAATAAGGTTACAAACCTGTTTTTTTAAATTGAGAATGTTTCGATAACATACTCGTTTTGGCACGGCACAGAAATGAGTGTCAACCAACCGAGATGCCATATCAAATCGGCCCAGACTTCTGTTTCCAGAAGAGACTATCTAATCGACCGCTGCATCGAGATCAGTATGTTGCGACCCTGCAGAGTCCTTTGCTTGGATGAAGTCGGCTGGTTTGAAAAGTGAAGCAGAAGGTTTTCTGTTTGCTGCCTGGGACCAGTCACTTCCCACTCGAAACCGTCAATGTGTGATTTGCTTCAAATGTAAATATGAAATGTAGATTATACAAGGGCCCTAAGCTAATGATGAGCCTAAACAGCCTGACTGTGCAAGGATCACCCAGACCCTCTTTGCTGCATTTAATCTGATAATAATAATAAGAATATATATATATATATATATATATATAATATAATATATATATATATATATATATATATATATATATATATATATATATAGATAAAATACAAAAGTCCAAAGATGAGCTGTATAATTTACTCAACCGGTTTCACGCATGTGATTTTCAAGAGTACAGTTATACCGTTACCACGATATATATATATATATATATATACCAAACTAGCCCAAAAAGGTGTATGTCTTGAATGCTAATCTCAAACACACTTCCAATGGCGTGTCTATCAAAAACTAATTCCGAGTGCTGGCAAATAAAATATAGGTGTACGCTAATTGTAACCAGTCATGCCACCTGGCATTTGCTCAGCGCATAAAACCCTCATGCCCACCTTTACATTCACAGAGCTCTGTGAAATATCTTGTGGGCAACGACAGGCGGTCACGTCATGTCGATGTCGCCAGCAACCGATCACAGCAACCGTTAGTTTAGTGTACATAAGTAAAACTATAATAATATGTTCAGTGAAATAATTGTGGTTGATTGCATGAGCAACGCCCCGATCAGGAATTTACAGAGCCTGGCCGCCCGATCCGAAATGTAGATGGTTCAAATAAAAGCATGGGTTCCTGCGTACCCGGGATAGCCTAACGCCTACCTGTCTTAACACATACTTGTTCCAGGCTCAATTATTTACATACCCCCGTCCTACAGCTGGCACACTGCTTTAACCATCAAGTAAAAAATTCATTCAATATTGCTGTCTGCAACGAAAAGCGACTTCCGCGCAATCACCCTTTACACCTCGATGGTGTGGGATGGACATTTGGCCATGAATTGGCTTATGCTTACCATTGTGCCAGAGTGAAGCTCTTCACAGGATGATTGGGTGTCATATAAACATCAGACACAGATTGAAATAAATGCGACAAAACCCTTTCAATATTCATAAATATAAATTGCCAATGCAAGAGTATAACCAGTCCAGATTTTCTGCAAAAGTAAATTCAACTTGAACTAATTCATAATATCTGTGGAAATTATATGAATGGACAACAGAAAATCAGATGACACCAGGATTTCGCGAAAAGGGTAAGCATGTCCTACCGGTGCATCCGCCATTCATACAATTTGCATAAAAAGGAAGTATTTATTGCCTGACGCAGCACAGCGGTACTCCTGCCATACGTCAGCCTGTAAAGAAATCTCTGCCAGACGACGAATACGATCCCGACTTTATCGTAAGCATGTGGTTAAAAATCACTATCAGATAGTGGTGATACCAGGTGTTCGTGAAAGGTGAGCATATCCTGACCAACCGGTGGCACCCGTCACAAACGCACGCAAAAGCAAGTCAACTGTTCACCTGAAAAAAAGCACTTGAAGGAAGATATGGTACGAGTCAAAACAGGGAATTGAATCGGACATCATTTTTGTCACTGATGGGTCAAATTTGGAAATATCTTCCACGTGTCTACCACACCTTTTGAAAGGGTTACCGAGACCTTGAATGTTGTAGCCTTGATCAACAGCTATTGAGCAAGAATTGTATGATGCTCTTTCAAATTAAGATTTAAACACATCGCATCGGCTCATGAATATCGAAATGTCGCGTAACACATAGTGCAGTAACGACCTAGGAGGTTTGGAGCGTGTCTAAGGCAACGGTTGTTGAGTACAGAGATCGTATCTCGCTAGAATTCAAGATCGCATTCCTGTCCAGCAAAACTGGTCACAAATCAAGAAACGATGGTCACGGAGAATAGATAGATGGAAGTCCACTGGCAAGTGACTTTGTTTGAGATATGCCTCTGTTCTCCCAGGAAAGACTAAGTTTTTGTTGTTATTTCTTGTTAGTATTTAACGCCGCACTCGGCAATATTCCAGCTATATGACGGCGGTCTGTAAATAATCGATCTGTATCTTGTAACGACGTTTGGGTAATAATAGAGTCGTACTGAGCGAGGAAAAGAAGAGATGTCATCTACGATGCTAAACAGCTGACGTTCTGATTTGAAGTTCTCATAAAATCTCCTTTAGCTAACCTTGACAAATGGTTACGCCCTGAAATCCTTCATAGTGCCTTCCTAAACCGCAGTCAGGACTGGAATGGATGTACCCCCATTCGTTTAATTGTTTGTTTGTTTGTTGTTTAACGCCGCACTCGGCAATATTCCAGCTATATGACGGCGGTCTGTAAATAATCGATCTGTATCTTGTAACGACGTTTGGGTAATAATAGAGTCGTACTGAGCGAGGAAAAGAAGAGATGTCATCTACGATGCTAAACAGCTGACGTTCTGATTTGAAGTTCTCATAAAATCTCCTTTAGCTAACCTTGACAAAGGGCATCTTACCAAGTATTAAGGTATGTAAATAATTTTTTTCATTAATAAATGACGCTCTGTAAAAGCGAGTCGATAAGTAAACAAACGGCGGCCATTGTGGACCAGACGAATATAACTGGCACGGCACTGTACATATACATATACATATATATATATATATACCAAACTAGCCAAAAAAGGTGTATGTCTTGAATGCTTATCTTAAACACACTTCCAATGGCGTGTCTATCAAATTCTAATTCCGAGTGCTGGCAAATCAAATATAGGTGTACGCTAATTGACACCAGTCAGGCCACCTGGCATTTGCTCAGCACATAAAACCCTCATGCCCACCTTTACATTCACAGAGCTCTGTGAAATATCTTGTGGGCAACGACAGGCGGTCACGTCATGTCGATGTCGCCAGCAACCGATCACAGCAACCGTTAGTTTAGTGTACATAAGTAAAACTATAATAATATGTTCAGTGAAATAATTGTGGTTGATTGCATGAGCAACGCCCCGATCAGGAATTTACAGAGCCTGGCCGCCCGATCCGAAATGTAGATGGTTCAAATAAAAGCATGGGTTCCTGCGTACCCGGGATAGCCTAACGCCTACCTGTCTTAACACATACTTGTTCCAGGCTCAATTATTTACATACCCCCGTCCTACAGCTGGCACACTGCTTTAACCATCAAGTAAAAAAATCATTCAATATTGCTGTCTGCAACGAAGAGCGACTTCCG